CGAAAGTTATCGTGTATACGGCCGGACGGACATACTGACCGATTCTAGAGTGTACTCACTTTTTGAGTACACAATCACTTTTTGAGTACCCAAAAAACACAAGCTTATCATCATTCATTATTGATTGAATCAATACCTGGATTATTTTCGTAAAATAAATTAAGCTTAACTAGTCGTGGTCTCTTCTGGTTAACGCGAATAGACCTTGTTCATATTAAAAATTCTATCTTGCTTTGCATACAACTATTTAAAAAAAAGTTATTTTATTCTATCTCAAAGTTCATAATAAAATAAATAGTAAGATATTCATTGTTATTAAACATCAAGGGAAAATGGTGGACTTCAAGTACAGTACAGTAAAGTAGAGTAAAGTAACGTGTAAAGTAATCTAGAAGAAAAAGAAGAGGAAGAATACCCTTGCCTTTCGGCTAACTTTCAGTATAGGGTGCTGTTCAAGGACAGTTTCGAACGCCCGATGTTTTTTCGATAAGTATTACTAGCTGCAGCTGTGGACAGAAGGTCAGCCTGATTCAGAGTTCCTCTCGCTTAATCATTTAAGCTCCCCATGCATACTGACTAACCACATACTAGTCACAAGGGCTTCTTATGTATGTCACATATAGTCAGCGTGCTATCGGATCGGTGGTCCGAGACAAACAGCCGTTATTAACTTGTCCGAGGTCATTCTATATCTGCTGGCGCCGAGGTTCGAACGTACTATCTTGTGGATATGTGTTGAACATCTTAACCATTCAGCCATAGCGGCTGAAGTAATATAAAGTAGAATAAAGCACTTTAAAGTAGCTCGAAGTGCTGTTGAAGTAGCGCAAATTAACTTCAGGTACAAAATACGCCGTTTCCCCCTTGTACACATTAAGAAAAACAAAGTTCGAGTATAAGTGAGCATTATGATTTCTTATGAATACATTAGAAAATGGAAATATTAAATGATCAATCTTCGACAAGCAGATCATGTAGCTAGTAAAATAACCAATCGATTACGAGAACGTATGAGTTCAATGTTCATGCTACCTATGTGATCTTTTTTATCTTATTACATGCGTTACATAAAGCATATACGTAGACTGTGGATATTATAAATGATCAATATTCATTATTTTAGTAAAAGCGTAAAGATATTTAACAAAAAAAAACTATTAAGATATCACATTAAGATTAGATTATTTGATGAGTATGCAATTAATTATTAACTAGAACGGTAATCCTATTCCGCAATGTTTAACATTTCGGAAACAGTGGTGACAAAATGGAAAATTCTGCAATCTTTTTCGATATTGACAACTCGAACAACTGAATGCAGTGATTTGTTCTAGTTTTGAGAATTCTACAAGACTTTTGGATCGTGCAACTATTACAGATCGATAGAATTGAAGTTACAGTTAATTGTCAGATAAATTAGTCTTGTACGGAATCATTCAATGGTAAGTTTGACTAAATTTATGATCGCTCAAAAGTTTTAACATTCGAAATAGAAATCAATTTGGATTGTTTGTCACTTTGTTTTTTCACTAATCTTATAGTATAGTATTCTGATGAATTAGTTTTTCAAAAAAAAGAATCCGAATTCATTTTATCTTGTAATTTCTCGAAACTGAACTGTTTGATCTTTTGCAATCGTTTGACTTAACAGCTGAATTTTTGAAATGACGTGAGTTTATGATATTGTCGATTCTTCGAGAGAAAGAGAGGGACACTCAGTTGTTTTCTGAATACTCGACATCGCGAAATAGGACAGACAAAAAAAAAGTAAATGCTCAAATAAGAGTACATGTATTTGAAGTAACTGCGTAACTATTCACCACTTTTAAATTTCCATCACCTGCATTTGCGAATTGAATTCCTTTAATTTGTTGTCGATTATGTTCCAATGTCTTTTGACGAATATCGTCCAGATCTTGCTCAATGAGATGTTGTTCGGTCGTTGTAGTGTTAACAGCACCGGGATATTCGACGTCGTGATCATCATTGTGACTTTCATTATCGGAATCATCTACAATTTGTGAAATGTCAAGAGATTCTGAATCTTCCGAGAATATAGCCATAGCCTTCGATTGTAATTCATTGTTACTACTCATCTTCGACAATAATTGTCGACCATTCAATCGGGTAACGAAACGTAGAAGACTAATAGGCTTTTGATTCTTTTGTGTAACACTTTTGCCATCGTTATTACTCTTAGGATTACTATCGTCTTCACTTTTATTGGCAGCAAAATCAGATTCATCATCACTTGAGTCTATATTAGTGCATTTTTCCATATGTTCAATAAGATCTGCCACAGCAGATTTTGTTACACGTCGAGGATTTCTATTACAAACAAACGAAACTATGATGTTCATTCAGATTTATACGATCATCAATTTTTACTTAGGATTCTGAGTAGATTTCAAAACAATACAACATTCTTCCAGTACAATAATCGATGAAAAAAATAATATCCAACATATTTCATGAGATACTCAACGTCTTTTTTTGTGAAATTTTGCATGTGTCTCAACACTGGATGATTGTCTTTTTGTTTCTTCGAATGGTAGTATGCTGAGTCAACAGAAAAGCGATCTGAACACGGTTTCCTACTATATCACCAATGTATGATGATTTTATGAAATAAATTTTTATTGAAGATTTTTGTCTCAATTTCTGCTAGACTTACTTCTGGAGTTAGACTAAATCAGAAAGGTGGATTCTGATACTAAAGATAAAGAATTGAAGGTAAATGTCAGTTGCTCAGCATTTAACTAGAATAAAGTGTGAACATTTATTTGTTCAATAAACTTTATAAGTTATTCAAATACACTATAAAAATGTCTAAGCACATCTTTGCTTTTTAGTCGCAAAATAACAACATTTTAGACTGAGTTAAACTGTGTTTAAAATTGTCTATAAAATATATAACTACGTAATTATCTACTTTTCGTGCACTTTCTTGTTGTTGAAAACATCTCAGCTTTCTCATTTGATTAGCAAAGAGGTCAGTCATTTTAAAGAATAGCATTTTGTAGAACTTGATATTCTGCATTTGTTTAAATAAAAAGAATAAGTTTTTGTAAAAGCATATTCTCAAAAAATTCTTTAAAAAAATAGGATTGTTTGATCTGTGAACGTCTGATTGATAATTTCTGTTTGTCAAAGGGGAAATAAATTCGTTGATCAAACTGTACATATTACAATATATTCCGAAAAATTTTTACTTTATTTAGTAGAAGAAAGAAATATCTGAAGTCAATTTAGCACAATAAACATATTTCTTTTTGTAGATATTAATGATTTTATTGTTGAACAAGTGATACTTCTATGATATTCAATACTTTTTAGCTTACAATATGACGAAGGGCAAATACTTATTTAAAAAAAAAAGAATATATCAATCAAATCTACACGAAACTCTTTATCATTTAGGATCAGAACCAAACTTTTCGGGTTCAGCCTAATTCGAGAAATAAGCCTAGTGAAAATTGGCAATTTGATCTGGTTCATCCTTGATTGATAAGAGCAATCACTGATCTATGTTAGCATGATCTCTGAAGAATCTCCGGTTTTCTATAGGTCGATATCTGATATAAACATAATCAGAAGTTTTACCCGGGAGTTATCCCATGCGATGGAAATTACAGAAGATTGGCAACTAATCGTCACTAATCACTGGTTGTTTTGCAAATAGGTACAGAATTTTCCAGGTTAACTTCTGTTAACTAAATATGTTCGATTTCTATGATGGATAATTTACCTAGTCGAATTCGACACAACCTAATAAAAATGTAGTCTCAAATTGTCAGTTTATATGGTAGGTTATCATTTGCCACAAATTGTGGTTTCCGGAATTGGTCCCTACAT